CCCCAAAACCCCAAAACCCCAAAACCCCGTTATACTATTATAAACTTAAATAGGAAATTAGGAATCTTACTAATCTTAAATTTAAATCTTCTTAATTAGTTTCCAAATAAACAATAAATAGCATCAATATTCTTATTATATATCTACTATGAAATGAATTTTTTATCATTGCTGATGATCATGCTTTAATATAAGCTGTTCCCACTTTTAAAAAATTTATCTTAACAAAATTTCCTAGTCTTTCTTTTCATTAATATGATCATTCTAAATATCTTCAATAGCAATTTCAGTTTATCTTATATTTTACTTTGCATCTTTATACTTTAATTGATAATGCAAAATGAATTTTAAGGATCCTACAAATAGAGTTTTAAGTTATACAGATTTCACGATATAATGCCACCTTTCATTTGGATTTAATAGTTCTTTTATCACTTACTTTTTCATTTTCTTATCAATAATTTTTAATCTTTTGAAGTTGAAATGATAAAATAGAAGTCTGAGGTATACTAGATCATTAATGTGCTTATTGCCAAGAATTTAATAAAGTAAGTCTTTTAGTTTCAAATTTTGATTGAATACTGAGTAGCATTCTATCTGATATATGTAGTTTTACAGAATAGTGTTTTAAAGTTTTCCATATTTTTCTATGTATTCTATGCATTAGCTTTCATCTCTGATTTTCAAGTTTATTAAAGCTATAGAAAGGTAGCATTGAATTGTATCATCTGCTTATTCCCCAAATTAAATTTTGCAAATATCTAACCTCTACATTTCATTCTTAATAGCTTCACTGAAATGACTATGTAATTAATTAATTTGTGATCTAGTCTTGAGTAAAGCTAGTTATTGAATAGTTAAAGAATTTGGATCTTAATCTATCAAATGTTCACATGTTTCTAATATTTATTAGCATTAACTTTTACACTTCTTGTTAGCTAGACACCAAGCTTAGATTAACAAGCATTCAATTTTCAAATCATTCATGGATTAATATTTCTCTAAAAGCTCTTAACATTTTAAAGTTTGTTCCAATGCTATATCATACTTCTAATAACTCAAATTTACCTTAGCAACTACAAGATAGGATTCGATCAAGCAATCCTCCATTAACCTATTCTTAAAATGTGTTTACAGAGCTATAATTATTTTATTAGAGGGATTGGTGAATTTAAGGTACTATAAGTATAATCTAAGATCTTCATCATCAAAGAAAAGTTACTAGTTTTTATCAAATGTTTGCGACTTGACATAGTCCTTAATTTCATTAGATTTAAAGCTATATTTGCAGCGCTTTCTTATCTGAAATTTGATTTGTTTATCTATTCCATCATCACAATTTTAAAGTAGTTTTATTAAAACTACTCTCCATTCTTTGTCATTATCAATGATTGCTTCTTTATCCTTATCATAATTCCAATCTATCTTTCTCTTTAATTGCTTAAAGAACTGTTATCTTAAATTCAAAGGGTTTTCGAGTTAAATAAAATCACTATCTTAACTCTCAAGCAAATCTAATTCAAAATATTCTTCACCGGGATCTATTGAAGCTATATGTTTAATGTTATTTAAACTTGGTTTTTTCATAGGAGAGCTTGTAATATATCTTTTATCCTATGCTCTTTAAGAGTTAGCCATTGATATAAGTGTTTCGATGTAAAACTTATACTTTGTAAGCATTAATACTTCTCTGATTGCTAAAATTTTGTTTTCATTTTGAAACTAGTTGCACAGTCTGAAAACAAACTCATTATTTTGTGAAAAGTACTTACAATATTTTATAACAATATCATTTAGTGTAGGAAATTTTCTATAGTTATTCGTATCCAGATCAATTAACATATTTTGCATTAATTCTGAAATGTTTTGCTTATTACCATCAACCATTGACTTGTATATTAGGCTGAATGTTATGTAAATTGCATGTCTATCATTTTTATAAAGTTCTTATTTAGTGAGCATCGTATTTTCATAAATGTATTTCAGTGCAAATGATTTGGAATGACCTTTAGGCTTATAATAATAAGGCTGCCCTTATTCATCTTTTGACTAACTTTTTAATTTCAAAGATATTCCGAAGTCCCCCATTTTCAATACCTGATTTCGGTAAAGAAGCAAATTACTTGGCTTTATGTCTCCTTAATAGATGTTTCTTGAATGCAAAAAATTTATCAATCTCATTGCTTGAAAACAATAGAAGGCTAGTTTTTCAGAAGTATATTTCTCGCTAAGTTATAATGATTAGTCATTTTTCTTCCATATTTTAAACAGTTTCTCTAAATCATTTTAAGCTCTCTCAAGTATAACTACATATCTAACAATAATTCCATTTCATCAATTGAACTCTATAATTTCCTCTCGAATTTAAGAAGTAAAATTGCTCTTTCCTCTAACTTTCATCATCTAATGCTCATAAAATGAATTTTGAAAATAGTTCGCATTTTTATCCTCATCATCACTTTTGTGCATTTTAGAAGAAAGTTTAGGAATTTTTGCAACTAATTCTTCGAATTCCTTGGTTTCAATTCTATATACAGTAGATTCAGCTCCTTCTGCTATCATTTGAATTGAAAATATGGATTTATATTGCATTGAATATTTTACTAAGAAGTTCTCTATGTCAAATTCTGATGAAAATGTGAGTGGCTAAGTCTCTTAACTATCAATTATTATTTAATTTTTCATTGCTCTTTAAACAATTAATTCTCTGTTTAAATCTTCACTAAAGTCTATGATTATTTATTAGTGAATTAAACTTTGGTTTTTATAGAAAATAACTACTGAATCTGAATAGGCTCGTCTCTTAAATAAGATTCTATCGAGATCGTTTGTCTAAACTAATTTATAAGTTGAAATCAAGGTTCCTAAATGATACTTTCTAGTGCTTGATATACCTTTCCAATTTTATAATGCTAAAAAACTTAGTTCAATTATAATTTACTTGGAGAATAGTCTGGGGATTTTTAGGTGCCATCTCTTTTAAAGATTTTAATGGGAGGAAGTTTTTTTAATTCAACTACTTTTTGATTCAATTCATCTTCGCTTTATTTTTCCTCATCAGAGTCTGATTCAACAAGCTAATCTAAAGGTTATTTATAAGTTTTCTTGAATTCTCCGTATGGTACAATATTAATAGGAATTTTTATATCACTATCTATACTACTCTTGCTAGAAATCATTTCAATCTATTTTATATTGCTTGATACTATGCTCTTAAACCTAACTAATTTCTTTTTCTTTACCGGAATTTTCTACTTTTTAAACTATGACTAAAATGCGAATTCAAAGTTATCTATCGATTTTTTCTTTTTCAGATCGCTTATTTTAAAGTTAAATGGAGTAATGCTAGATTTATGCTTATTCGCCATACTCTTCCTTCTTTTTTTATTACCCTCTAATGTAAGTAAATTGAGATTCAAATCTAATTCCTCTAATTCATCAATAGATTCTTTTATTTTTTCAGCTATTACTATAGTTTAATTGTTATTCTGTGATAAGGACTATTCAGTTTCAGTTTAAATAAACGTTGACCTGCTTTCCTTTAATTTAATTGATTATATATCATGCATTTTGACTTAGTTCTTTGAATGAGATGCTCTATCTTAAGAATGATGTCTTAAATTAGCTTTCATTTATAGAATCCTTCGTTTCTCATGCTTTTGAATTTCAAATTAACTTGCTCTTTATTTAAGATTGGTATACTATAGGTTCTATTATTGAACTTCGACAGGTTTGGCTTATAGCATTTTTTTGCACTTTATAGGATCTGCTTTTTGATTTCTGATAATCATGCTCCTTTTTTCCATCTCATCCCTAAATACTTGAAAACTGTTTTATTTTGGTAATTTTTGAAAATCTAATGATTTCTGAGAGGCTTGCTAGCTTTATCTGTGCAGATGATTTCTATTTAGCAATATTTTGTTTGTACTTTGTTCGTTATAACAGAGTGTTTTATACCTTTCAGTAATGAGTTGTCTATTTGAATTCTTGAAAGTACTTCCATAGAGGGTTGGTTATAAGCTGATACTTGCAAGATTAAGTGATGATTTTTAATCACATTTAACCTTTTCTGAGTCATTATCTTACATTTACTAAATTTACTATTTCATGATTTTAATGAAATATAATCTGCTAATATTTGATTATAACTATTGATTTTGCTTTAATATCTATGAATAAATCAATTTTAATTTCTTAAATATATTGATTAGCAATTTTAGGAAAGTATTATCTACTTGGGGTTTTGGGGTTTTGGGGTTTTGGGG